GGGGGGCTTGGGGGGGGCTCACCTTCCTCTCCCCAGGCCTCGGGGACGGCGAGGGAGGCTGACGCCAGGGCTGCTGCGAGGAACACCATCACCCTGCCCAGGCCTGGGATGGGACTGCGCATCTGGAGGAGGCAGAGTGGGGAGGGAGAGGGTGTTATCCCCTGCAATGGGGCGGCCAGTAGGGTCCACAGCCCAGAGCATCTGCAGGACCATGGACCCCGCATCTCCCTCTCACCTCACCCCATCCTGCTGGGGACAGCATGGGGACCGTAACGCCAGGACCCCAGCTAGGGCAGCTGGCAGGGTCTGTGCCACTGCCACAGCTGGTCCCTGGCTGCTGGGGAGTCCCCATGCCTGGAGGGGGGACACAAAGGGCAAACACTGACCAGGAGCTTGGGGCTGCGTGGGTTGGCGGGATTAAGGGCTCTTTGCCATTGCAGTCCTGTGCCAGGAGCCCTGGCTGGCTCCCAGCCCCGGGATGGTCCAGAGACCTGCGCCTGTGCAGCTGGAGCGGGAAGGGACCGAGGAGAAATTCTGGCCTGTATTTACGTGGCAGGAGACAGCAGTTAGATCTGAACAGGCTCACACAGCCAGGGAGAGCAGGTCTGTGAGAGCTCAGACCGTACCGAGAGTGGGGCTGGCTGGTGGTCCCGCGTCACTGCCCATCCCTGCACTCGCTGCAGGGCTGGTCCGTGCAGGTCTGTGCCCTTCCAGGCCATTTGGGCTCTCTGGACCCAGGGAGAATGGCCCTGAAATCCCTTCCTCCCACTCAGAGATCACCAGTGGGTCTGGGGCAAGAAGTGCAGGGGATGTTGAGTCAGGGATGTGCACCCAACTCTCCACGGGTCAACCCCAGCCACAGGCCAGGGTCTCCCCACCATAACACAGCCAGCATCACCCTCTCTGTACCAGCCAGCATCACCCTCTCCATCGCAGCCAGCATCACCCCGAGGTGTCCACCCCAGCCTACATTGCTCTGCACACACCAGCCAGCGTCACCCTGGCCAACCCAGCCAGCATCACCCTGGCCATAGCAGCCAGCATTGCCCTGAGGTATCAGTCCCAGCCTGCATCATCCTGCACATACCAGCTAGCATCTTCCTGACTGTGCCAGCCAGCATCACCATGTTCATCACAGCCAGCATTGCCCTAAGGCATCTGTTCCAGCCTGCACTGTCCTGCACACACCAGCCAGCGTCACCCTGTCTGTACCAGCCAGCATCACCTCAGGACATCCATTCTGGCCAGCATCGTGCCATCCATATCAGCAACATCACACTGTCCCTATCAGCCAGCCTTGCCTGCCCCCAGCAGGCACAGACAGCTGAATCATCTCTCCCTGGAAGACCCCCCTGCCCACCCCTCACGAACGGGCAGGCCTGTTTATTTACACCCATATTGTCGGGCTCTGCTCCCGGCTGCAGGCAGGCAGGGGCTGAGGGCATTGGAGGCAGTGAGCTCCCTGCCAGCCCCAAGCACAGGCTGCAGCTCGTGGGCGTAAATCTGTGTCCCCCTGAGTCACCTGGGTTCAACAGCTGAGGGGTTCCAGGGAGGGATGCTCCAGCCCTGCAAAGGCACCCCAGAGCAGCTGCCAGTTCCCCTCCTGCGGGCAGGTGCCCATGGCCGCAGACCAAAATGCATGGCAAAGGAAATGAGACCTACAAGGCGATGAGCTGCAACTCAGAGAGTGCAGGGGGGTTGCATCAACCCTGTCCTGAACACGCCAGTCAGCCTCAAACGCAAGCCCCAAACGTAAGTAATTTCATGAGACTGTCATAAGCTTTTCCTACCAAACCACCCGTAGAAATGTTCCCAAGAAACATCAGTTAAAAGGTCTCTGCCAAAATTATCCTGGTAACTAACTGGGAACATTTGGCCTGAAAGTAAAATATTTTGGTGATGAAAAAAAAAAAGACTTAAAATACACTTAAAAGCAGCAAGCAAAAATAACTCCAAACACCACGTGGGCCAGAGTTAAGGGGACGGTGCTGAGGGGGGGCAGGGAGAAGGGAGAGTCTGTTAGTGTAGAGAGATAAATAGTTTTAAAATAAAATCATTTCTTCTCCCGACCGCCCTGGGTTTTTGTGCAAACGCTGCGGAGGGTGAAGGCAGAGCTGCTGCACCCATCGCCCACCGTGCCGCTCTGTGGCAGGGGGATATGCTCTGGGTGCTGGCTCACTGCTGACGCGAGTTTGCTAGCTCTCAGGGTCGCTGACTGGTTCAAGGCCAGTGTGGAAAAATGACCCTGCAGCTGTGATGCTGAAAGGCATCTTTCCCTGCACGGACAAGGGAAGAGCTGGGGGCACAGCACAGTTTGCAGCCAGCTGCTGCTCACGTCCCTGGGGAACGGCGTTAAGCCCTGCCCGGCCAGCCTGGCTGCGGGTAGTATTGCCAACAGACTCGGAGGCACCCCAGACCCCTACGTGGTGGCAGAGGGCATCTCGGCAGACCCCGTCCCCCGCTGCATCCCAACCCCTGGCCTCCACGGTGACCCCCCAGTGGTCCCCCACCACTCACCCTGAGGGCCACCCTGCATCCTCCCACCCTTCAGCACCCTCCGTCCCAGGGCCCCCCCAGTGCTCCCC